GGCGCGATCAGCCAAGAAAATAACCCTCAAAGAATATACACCTATTTGCGTTTGCATACTTTGTTGCATGCAACAAGCAGTGTGCGCATAAGTGAGCGCGGGCAAGCGTAAACCCAAGCAGGTAGCTTGAAGCGCTCGGTACTGTATCTAATTACGTACGAGTGTATGTGTGCGTGTGCAAATGTGCCGACGCACCCCACCCCAAATATTCGTGCAACATGTGTTGTCGTCGCTGTCGTTGTTGGCGGCGCAGTCTTGGCAAATTGGCACGGGAAGTGCGTAGTAATTGAATTTCTTTGTTCGGCGGCTTTGTGCCACACAACGCCAGGCCTAACCGACACAGCTTGCCAGACTACGGAGGGGTCGTATGACCCTAAATATATATACATATGTGTGTATGCTATTTTTATAGCGGTCTGTATGTAAATATGTTTGCACAGGACATCCTGCGGCGACTTTCCCTCTATTCTCTCCATTTGTCGCGTGAGAAAGCCTTCAGCGCTACTTGTGGTATGCGCACCAAGAGCCGCCGTGCAGTTGTGGGGTTTCACTCCGCCTTCAGGATGCATGCAACAGTGTTGAAACATTAAACCCATTTTATATGTAATTATGGGGGTATCGAATAGCAACAGGTTCGCGCAATCGAGAATGTAATATGTAAGTTGGGATTTCGTAGGGTTCGGCACGCATGAGATTGTGGAGAAAGGCTCGAGGAAAGTAGGATTGAGAAGTTTAAAAGTGGAAATTGGTTACAAAAACACAGTAACACAGCCGAGAAGAGCGCCTAGCCCCGGCACAAATCTCTAAGAGGATAGATTCGAAGTTAGTTTCAAACTTAGAAGGAAAGCGAGCTTTTGAGGGGCTCGGACGTATGAAATTATGGTGAAACATATAAAGAAAGAAGGATTGAGAAGCTTAAAGACAGAATTTGCGAGAATGGTATTCAAAAAGTAACGTAAGTTGGGATTTCGTAGGGTTCAGAACACTTGAGATTGTGGTGAAAGAGGCAAAGAAAATAGGATTGAGCAGCTTAAAAGCGGAAATTGGCTTAAAAAAATAGTAACACTGTCGAGAAGATCGCCTATCCCCGGCACAAATCTCTAGGAGGATAGATTTGAGTTTAGTTTCAAACTTAGAAGGAACGTGTACTTTTGAGGGGTTCAGTATGCATTAGCCAATTGCAGCCTCAACTTTCTAGGACGATGGATAGTTTCAAACTTAGAAGCGAAGCCAACTTTCAAAGGGTTCGGGACGCATGAGATTGTGATGAAACTGTCGATCAAAGTAGGATTAAGAAGCTTAAAAGTAAATAGTAAGTACTGGCTAGAAGAGCGCAGCCACAAGGAGGATAGGCTTGAAGTTAGTTTCAAACATAGAACGCATGACCTTATTGTAAAACTATCGAAGAAAAACGGATTAAGAAGTTTGAAAGCAGTCTCAAGTCTTTAGGACAATGAATTTGATGATGGTTCCAAACTAAGCCATAAGGTTCACCATAATTTCATTTATGAAAAGTTTTAAAGTCCTAAATTTAAATTTTGACCAGCCGGGTTTATAGATTACCATTCGGAGTGAGGCATTGTGTTGTTCGAACAACTTAAGCGTAAAAACTGTGTCCTGATTAAACTGCAGAGATCAATCTCTACTTCCACTCACTTCAAGCTGCAAGTGGTTGAAATCAATCAGCAGTACTTTGGAGCGCTTGGATACATCTGCCGCACAACAGTTTAGGTTTATGATGTATCAACCCTCCGTGAACCTTAAAAATCCAATCCCACAATTAGATTCTTCTAAGAAATAGACAAAAACCCAAGGGCACATACAACTAAAGCGGACTGGGACGAAGTGCACGAAAGACACAAAAAAAGCAAGCCAAAAAATGAAAGCGCACCAAATGCCAATACACAACACGAACGACTCATCGACGCACACAAGGAAACGATTGTCAACACAAAAAAAAATTGGAAATTTTTCAAAACACACGCGCATTAGTACGTTTGAAAGTGATGTGTAGGCATGTCGCCGGGACTGGGTTGGTTTTTTTGACAAGCAGGCAGGCCAGGCCGACAGCGAGAGCCAGCGCCAGAGACAAGGCACGCAGCAAGCAGACGAACCAGCAAGCATTTCTGGGGTGGAAATGCAAAAGTAAAAAAACCGAGAAAACGCAACAAACAAAACAACGATCGCAGTTTGGTAAGCTGACGCACGGAAGCCGACGTCGCTTAGGCAGCTAATAACGGCGAAAGTCAACGTCAATGCAAGCGTCAGCGTTGACGTTGGGTTAGACGACAGTTGGCTAGCTGGTTGTGGTGTTGTTGCCATACATTTCGCAAAGCAAATTAAGAAGGGCCTAGAAGCAGGGACAAATGGAAAAGCAGACATAGCCGGCATGTGAATGAGTGAGTTGTGGATATGATAGTAATGTAAGACATGGTTAGAGAGGCAATATGGGTGGTAACTAACAGTTGGGTCTAACGTTTACGGAGTATGATTGTGTGCAGCTGGACTTGTATGGACTGACGGCTAAACGGACAGATCATATAGCACTAACGGCTAACTTATATTGTGATTGGAAGGCCGTAGATGTATTAGTAAGCAGACGAAAGTTGGCGAAACGCGGGAGGAACGAGTTATTGAAGTCAGGGTTGGTCAGCAAGGAGAAACAATATAAAAATGTAACGGTATTCGACCCACATGATTAGATATATATGGAGTAAATATGTGTAAGCCTACCAGCGGGTGGTAAGCATCTTCCTATGAAGGTGACAAACGGTGGCGCAACATGTTGATTTGTCCGCTTGAGTTAAGCAAACAGCGGAGAGAGAGATTGAGCCTGCACTTTCGAGCAGTTACTTTCAAAAAACTTCCAATTCCACGCTGTATTGGCATTTTCGCCTAGGGTGGTCGTAGGGTGTAATAAAACCAATCGCATCGACACTGCATTACATTTCTGCACAAGCCCGGGCAGCAACCCTCTCTTATGGTGTTAGCTCAAAAAAGAGGGCACACATGCTACGTCTGTCTGCCTTTGAGTAGACTTTAGACAGCAGCGTTGCGATTTTATGACCAAAGCGACTATTCGTTGTAACGCCGTTGGGGAGGATTGGCAGTGACTTGGATGAGTGCGTGTGTGCGCGCTCGTATGTGGGTTGCAGCTGCACCACGTACACTAAACTAAACTACAACRAAACAAATCACACATACACAAACAAACAAAGAGTCGAGAGTGTGTAGAATACCTTGTGGCGAAGGTAGAGTGAGGCAGAAGCAACAAGCAATTTCCGCCAAAGCGTTGGCGTTGCCGTTGGAGTAGTAGTAGCGCATAAGAGGGAGAATATACGAGCCGAAGAGGAGATGGAAAATATGCGCATTGCACGCAACCGGGCATAACTCTTGACTACACACACATACACATACTCTAGCACATATGTATGTACATAGTTTTGTTTGACTGTGCGGTGGTTGAGTTTGGTTTGACTGCTGCGCCGTTCGTAATGGGCAAACTGCCGACAGGTAGAAAATCGAGCAGCGTAGGCAATTAACGAAACGTTAGTGAGGTGTTAAATATAAAATTTCGTATTTCTAAGAAGCTAATGCGTTGAAAATGACATCGACAGTTGAAATTGCTGAAATTGTGTGTGCGAAGCTGCTGGGCGGTACCTGTATATAGTGGCCTTGAAATGCCAGCGCTAGGAACTAGGACAGGATATTAACAGCCGAGTTATATGTATATTCTACGTGTAAATGTGCGCAAAATTGCAGTGACAGCGCAGTTGCACTACAGTAAAGCCTGCTTAATTATGACTCGAGTTTCTCTTGTGAACTATTTTTTATATATGCAACCTTGGCGCTAAATTTTTGGGCAATCGTTCTGAAATTTTGCACACATCCATTTCTTCCAAAGCCGCTGCTCATTTGTCGGAACCGCTGATATTGAACCATTATAGCATATAGTTGTCGTACAAAATGAACGTTCAAAATCAAGTACTTGTATGGAGAACTTCTTTATTTGAAGAGATATTCCCACGAAATTTGGTATGAATTATTGTCCACAGCAAGGCAACAATCTCCGAAAAAATTGTTGAGATCGGTTGACTATAGCATATAGCTGTCATACAAACTGAACGCTCAAAATCGAGATAAAGAGATTTTTATATCTTTTAAAGATTTGTTATGCCCTTTTTGCAAAAAGCAATACACCGGTGAAAGGTATGTTGCTTCGGTTCAGTCGAATTTAAGCTTTTAATATGTTTTCAAACGATTTCAGTGATTCACATGGCGAAATTTAGTTAGAAAAAAAGTCTATAATACTTCATGTCTTCTAAAAACTCATAAAAGCGTATATAGCCCAAGCTTAAATGTTGTGAGACGAAGCTTCTTAGCGTTTCATAATGATGAAATACCTTTTTTAAATTGAAAAAAATTCTAAAATATAGCGACTAACTCGCTATTTTGAAAGCTGGATTATCCAAATCAAACTTGAAACTACTTAAAAAGAGAAAAAGACCTTACTTCGGGCGATCCCCTCTAGTATATTATAAAAAAGGACTTGCGGATCTTATTATTACACCTTACGCTTACTACATAAATTTTCTCTCTCTCAGCTTAATATAAAAGCCTAAAATCCTTTACCACTTATAAACACATAACTTTCTTTGGCTGATCTTCTAAATTTTTGTAAAAATTTAAGCTGTTGAAAGCTTTTGATCGTCACTTTTTACTTGTGAATTAATTTTTTTGCACATTTCTCTGTAATTCTTGGAAATAACGGAGCTAAAAAATATTAACAACCCTTCAACGAAGTATTTTTAGTTATTTTTTAGGTATGCTGATAATTTTTTAATAAAAAAAACAATAATTTATTGCTAAAATTATTATAAATAATTATTATTCTATATAAATATAATGCAAATATTTATAATTCAAAACGAAAACATAACTTCTTTCAAGTAAAAAATCACAAAAAAATTATAATAAATTCAAAAATAAAAAATACATACCTTCTTTCAAAAAAAGTCAAAAAATCCTTTAACCGCTTATAAACGCCAAAACTGCGACATTTTACTGCATGCAAGCACTTAAGGGGGTGGCAGCACTAAGAAACTAATAAACCACCGTTATATTATTTTTGTTTATCAGCTGTCAAATTAATGTATTTTTGCAAAAATAAACTCAAAATTTCACTTTTTAATTCAGAAATCGAAACTTCAACAATTGTTTTCATTAACAACACACACACACACACAATGTTAGTAACACTTTTTGTTATTTAGTGTTAAAATTCTGCACTTTATATATTTTTATTTAAAAAAAATTTTTTTTGCATGTCACTTGCAATTGTATATTGAAACACTATAATAATAATAAAAGTTATAGTAGATAGTGGAGCGACGCACTTGAAGCACATGCGAATTATTTTTGCCGCTTCACAAAAACACAACAACCGTTCACTTCAATAAATTCCGACAAACTGTGCAGGCGGTAGCGTGAGGCTGAGCGCCTACCCCAGCGCGCTGTTGGCGTTGAAAATTGAAAACGAAAAACTCGCACAAAACAGAAAGCAGAAAATGACAACGGGCTGCGCCGAGACGCCGTCGACACACACATGGCATGTAAACGGTTGCGCGCAGGCAGTCAGTCACACAGCCAGCGGAGTTAGCGACAGCGGCTTTAAGAACCATTGTGTGCCAACGCCGCCACCACCACACCAGCCGGCCCAGCAGGCTAACGCATTACCGTCGTCAGCCACCTTACGCCGAATGATCGCACAAAGCGGAATCGGAAGAAAAACAACAAAATTGCAAGCGTGTACAACAAAGGGTACGCTGTGAGGTGCGGCGCGGCTGGGTTGTGCGCTGCGACGCGAACTGCGGACATTGTGTACAGCTACCTCCTACTTACCTACCTAATATTTTTTTATGTTATTATGCTAACCGACTACAACAAAAATATGTATGAAGAACATTGGCGGCTTCAACTTCAACCCACCCGCCTAAAGCGCAAAATACTAAACAAAAAAAGAATAGAAGAAGCAATCAATGTCTGATGACGCACAGTGGTGGGAAATGGAAAAGTTTGTGATGAAGAACTGAAAATATGAAAAGCGTTTTTGCTTGACTCGTCCCGATAAAACTGAATTTTTTCTCATCGAGCCACTATTGTGACTGAATTTGAAACTAAAAGCGCAATGAATACTATCGATCAACCACTGTATTTACCTGACTGGGCCTTTCAAAATTCCCAAATTAAATGCTGTCGTTGTAAAAAAATTTAATTTTATCCATAATATTGGTATTTTTTAGCCTGGCAGTCAGATCTGACTAAACTGAACGCATATACTTTAATAGCCCGTAGCTCAAAAAGTTTTTGAAGTATTCATATACAATTTTATTGATTTTTTAATTATCAGTTTATAAATATTGAGGAAAGTTCTTTGAGCGCCATTCAGTTGGGAGCTTAGATTATTTTACATATGGCTCAAGCAGCTCACGACTTCCAGTCTTAGACCAAGTATCGTCTGGGAAGTCAAAACAACAACCGTTTGAAGGTGAACTAAATTGACCCGAAAAAGACTGTTTTTTATTCAAGGAAACGAATGAAACCCCTTAAGATGTTATATACAGTAAGAAATAAAGAAAAAATCGATTTTTTATAATATTTTTTTGTTAACGTACATATATTTAAGAATACATTCATAAAATTTCATATATGTAGTTCAGGTAAATATTTTCGAAGTCACACGCAAATTTGAAAAGGCAGAGTGCTTGAAAGTACAAGCCCAAACTTTAAATGCGTTTTTCTCAAAATGGTGTTTCCAATGGCGGCGGCCAACATTACGCGAAAACGGCTCAACCGATTAATCTCAAATTTTAACACGAGCTTCTTAAATATATTTTTTAACAATTTAATGAAGATTTTTTCTCACCAAAATATTTTTTATAAACAATTTAAGGTCGAAATTTTGGTAAAGAATCGAAATTTTTTGTTTGAGAAGCCGCCATGCTGTCAAACAATTTTATTTTTCTTATTGCTTCGAATAATTACTAGAATAAACATTACTATAACGAAATCTGTTTTTATTTTCAGAGGATCCAGTAGTCACCGCCAAAATTATTTTTTGAGAAGAGCTCTCGGAGATCGGCTGTAGTTTCTTACTCTATAAATATTTTTACTGACAATAAGTTTTAAAATACCGTTAAAAGATACCATATTATGTGTACACATTTTTGGATCAATAGATTTAATAGTTTTCTCAGAAAAAAAATTTGGAATTAATTTTTTTAGCCTTTTAACTGTATATAACCCCTTAAAGGAAAAATAATTAATAACTGTACGTTTTTTGAGATATGGATTCACCTTAAAATCTAAAAAAATGGATTAAGGCCATGATTATATAATCAAAATTATTTCATGAAATAAAACTATAATCAAAAAATATTCAAATAAAATCATAAAAAAATGAAATTAATTCTTTTTAATTTTTAAATATTTTTTACGATAAAATAATTTTTAAACTAAATTTCTTTTTATGCTAAAACAATTTTTATTATCAAATCGTATACAATTTTCTTAATAATCAAGATAATTCTTCCTCAGTTCGGAGCCCATAACATACGAAATAAAATACGCCACAATTTAACACCGCCGGCACCACCGTGCGCTGTCATTATCAACAGTATCGGCGCCGGTACCAGCTGCTGAGTGGGTGAACAGCGAAAAAGACTGGCTTGTGAACATGTGCGCGCAGGTCAGAGTGAGAGGGGCCAATAACAACAGCAACAGCGCAATATTTAAATAGAGTTATACATACACATCCACACATATTTTTGTGTATATCGGCAAGCACATGTGGTCGAGTAGGGTGGGTTAACTGCATGGTCAACTGGCTGGCTGGTCGACTCTTGACTGCTTCAATAGTGCTGACTGTTGGTATGCCGGTGTATACAACATACATATGTATGTATGTATGTTTGTATGGATTTTTTGCCCCTTCAACACTATTGCTTGCTGTTGTTATTTGTCGTCCATGGCATGTCTCATCACAGCAAAAGCAACGCTGCCGCCAGCCAAGTCGATCGGCAATCGGGCACAAAATCACCGTGCGCTGTGCACCGGTGCGGGGTAGCGGTGCGGTACAGGTCAATTTCGTATACCAAAACACGCCTGCTCAGGTTTTATGTGGGTTGCTTGGTTTTTTGTTGTCTTCGATTTTTTCCCAAATCTTGCCGAAAGGCCATACACACATACATAACTGATGATCATGGATTTCGCTTCGCTTTTCATTTTCGCTTCCACTGAGTTGGGTTTTAGCGCTTCGGATATTTGTGTACATACATATCTGCGTACATAAGTACCTATATATACATATGTACGTATACAGACAGACATATATGTATGTATATGGGCATCTAGTTCAGTCATTCAGCGTTGGTGGTGCTTGCTCGCTCCCTAATGAGCCTACGAATATTCATAGACGACGTAGTAGGTGATAAGTGAGATCGCGATTGCGCTTAGAACTTATTATACAGCTACCAATGCTGCCGACATCGTAAGGTGCAGCGAAGCGCAACGTCTAGCTGAGATTCGTATAGGGGGTTCTACTAGCTCGGCAGGTCGTGACTCACCGTGCAGCGAGAGCGCAGTTGTTCTATACACCGGCTAGTGATGCATGATAAGGGCTAAAGAGAATGCATTCTATTTTGTTTGCGGAAATCATTCAGGTTGTGGGAAGTGGGGACTCCCTCGGCAGCGGGTGGCTATTTTCTAGCGTGACTTGCATCATTGCAATTACATTCGTACGTAATTGTTGTGATCTCATGCGATTATTAGAGAAATATTGTTTGTTTGTTTGGAAAAATCCGGAAATAAATTAACTACTGGAATCTCCAGCTTTTTGCGCGGTATTTTACATTTGATCGCGTTGACCTTTGAACAAACATGTGTAGTAGGTATGATCATAAAGTGCAGCTGATGTACGGTTTTACGTTGCCATCTGGATACACATTACATATTCAAGTGCTAATAATTGCAATGTTTCTCTTAAGTCATTTCAAATTACTTCAACGGAGTCACCGATAAATATTTAATTTAGATCGTAGCAGATCTTCGGATCTACTTGCTTTCAGCAAANGTGAATGCCCAGCCCTATCTCTTAAGTCATTTCAAATTACTTCAACGGAGTCACCGATAAATATTTAATTTAGATCGTAGCAGATCTTCGGATCTCCTTGCTTTCAGCAAAGATCAATTTGACGGGGTTCTTACTGGACATTGTGCAATAGGTATTAATGTGGGAAGGNATCGTAGCAGATCTTCGGATCTCCTTGCTTTCAGCAAAGATCAATTTGACGGGGTTCTTACTGGACATTGTGCAATAGGTATTAATGTGGGAAGGTTACTAGTAGGGAACAAGGAAACGATTTTCCACTTTCTCTTTGAATGCCCAGCCCTATCGCAGATTCGACACAGAACACTTGGAATCCATCAAGCACCAAACCTTGAATAAAAGTCTACAAAAAGCATAAGCACATTAGTAGCTTTATCGAAATCACAAAATGGTTTGAWAGAAAATATGAAAAGTGACAGCAATAACATAAAGATCAACGACTAATGCACCAAAATAGCACAGCTAGTGCAAATTGAACCCGAAATACAACAGCGCTGCACTCCGACCTCTGTCGGTCCAGTACATTAGTCATCTCTACACATTTGTGATAGGCTCAAAGCACTTTATCTATTAGAAGCACTCTTGCCAACAGGTGCTACTTTGGACTGAGTAGACAATTGAAAAGTAAAATTCTCTTCCGATGCACTCAGCATGCTGAAAGAAATACTCCTCCAACTAAACGGTTGAGGAATGAAAGCAGTAGCGTATGCAGACGATATAGTGTTGTTGGTATCAGGCATGTTTCCTTCGACAGTCAGCGAGATTATGGAAATAGCACTTCGAAGGTTAAACTTATGGGCCAAAAGCAATGGACTAGGAGTTAACTCGAACAAAATAGAACTGATGCTTTTCACAAGCAGAACAAAAATACCTCAATTTCAAACTCTGGTACTAAACGGTACAACACTCACACTATACCCCACAGCTAAATACTTGGGGGTGGAGATTGACACCAAACTGTCCTGGAAAATATATATAGAAAAAAGAATAAATAAAGCATACATGGCCTACTATACTTGTAAGAGAATCGTCAATAAGAATTGGGGCCTCAAATCAAGTATAATCAAGTGGATGTATACGGCTGTCATAAGACCTATACTTACATATGGAGCTCTGGTATGCTAGCCAGCGCTAAACAAACAATATAACATTAAAAAACTAAATCGTTTACAAAGAGCAGCATGTGCAGGTGTTACTGGTCATGTCCGTCTGATGCGCTCAATGTGATCCGGCATCAACTACCAATGGACATTTTTATTCACAAAACAGCAGTTATTGCGGCGATAAGAATAAAAGAATTGGGA